TATATAGGAAAACTTCACATTCTTGACATTTTTATCGTTCGTGGGTATGATCTACTTCTAACTCATCATTATGCATTTCAGATCATACCTCCTCGTAGAGCTAACGCAAGGAATGCTAACGCAATTCCTCCAGTCCCCGATCATGAGGTTTCAAATGCAAAGTTTCGGAATGCTATCCAGCTTTTGGCTAAGAGTATAGCTAACCAGAACAATCAGTAGGCCCAGTTCCTACCAATGCTAATCATGGATCAGTAACATCCAGGGTTTGAGATTTCATTTAGATGAGTCGGCCAGAGTTTCTAGGGTCGCTAGTTGTTGAGGACCCACATAATTTCATTGATGTGGTCAAAATGATTTTTGGAGTGATGCAAGTAACTAGGAATGATAGGGTAGAGTTGGCATCCTACCGGCTTAAGGATGTGGCTCACATTTGGTTCACTCAATGGAAAGAAAATAGGGGTATGGATGCGGCTCATATGACTTGGGAATGCTTTACTGGAGCTTTTCTGGACATGTTCTTCCCGAGAGAGTTGAGGGAGGCTAAGGCTCAGAAATTCATGAATTTGAGACAAGGTTCCATGTCAGTCCAAGAGTACAGACTTAAGTTCACCTAACTCTCTAGGTATGCTCCACATATGGTTGCTGATTCGAGGGCACATATGAGTAAGTTTTTGTATGGGGTATCCGACCTAGTTAAGACAGAGTACAGGAATGCTATGTTGCTAGAAAAAATAAATATCTTTAGGCTCATGACTCATGCTCAGCAGGTTGAGAGAGATAAGCTTAGAGAAATGGCTAAGGATAACAAGAAGGATAGGACATGTAACTATGAGTACTCTCAGCAGAAATTGGGTGGTGGAAGTCACTCTCAGTTTCATTAGAAATCTTCAGCCCCAACACCTTCAACACCTAGTGCTCCATCCCCCAAGTTTAGACATGGTCAAAAGGGTAGGGCATCAGGCTCTAAGTCTCATGGGAGTGCTTTAGGTAGCAAGACTTTCCCAACTTGTCCAAAGTGTGGTAAAAACCATCCAGGCGAGTGCAAGAATGGTGTTTTGGATGTGGTCAGTCTGGCCATAGGTTGAGGCATTGCCCTTCTACCAAACAGGGGCAAAAAGGTAACAACAGTGAGTCTCAGTCCACAGCTTTAGCAGCACCAGCAGGTCGCCCAACTCAACAGGGTGTTTTATCTGGTACAGGTGGCGGTCAGCGTCCGAACAAGTTATATGCTCTTCAGGCTCGCCAGGATCAAGAAGATTCTCCTGATGTGGTCACGGGTACATTACGAGTCTTTCAATTAGATGTTTATGTTTTGTCAGATCCAGAGGCTACTCTTTTCTTTGTAACTCCTTATATAGTAGCCAACTTTGGTGTCAGTCCAGAAACTCTCTTAGAACCCTTCTCAGTCTCTACTCCAGTTGGTGACCCAGTCATAGCTAGACGGGTATACAGAAATTATCCTGTCACAGTATCTCAAAAATTCACCTCAACACATCTTGTAGAGTTAGAAATGATAGACTTTAATATCATTCTAGGCATGGATTGGAAACATTCATGTTATGCCTCAATCGATTATAGAAGTAGGGTCGTTCGGTTTCAGTTTCCAAATAAGTCAGTCTTAGAATGGAAGGGTAGTAGCTCAGTGTTTATAGGTCAATTCATTTCTTACCTTAAGGCCAGAAAGATGATTTCCAAGGGGCATATCTATCATCTTGTTTGGGTTAAAGATTCAAACTCTGAAACCCCAACTCTTGAGTCAGTTCTAGTAGAAGCAGTGAAACAATGGCCCAGACTCATCTCTCCAACAGATATCAGAAGTTTCTTGGGTTTGGTTGGTTATTAAAGCAGATTTGTTGAAGGATTTTCATCCATAGCTTCACCATTGACTAACTTGACTCAGAAAAAGGTTAAGTTTCAGTGGTCAGATGAATGTGAGAAAAGCTTTGATAAATTGAAGACTAAGTTGACTACAACTTCGGTTTTGACTCTACCAGATGGGTCAAACGGTTATGTAATCTATTGTGATGCATCCAGGGTCGGTCTAGGTTATGTGTTGATGCAGCGAGGTAAGGTCATAGCTTATGCTTCTAGACAACTTAAGGTTCATGAGAAGAACTACCCAACTCATGACCTTGAGCTTACAACTATAGTATTTTCCCTAATGATTTGGAGACATTACTTATATGGTGTTCACGTAGATGTGTTCATAGATCATAAGAGCCACTCATATGTGTTCACCCAGATTGAGTTGAATCTTCATCAGATGAGATGGCTTGAATTCCTCAAGGACTATGATATGAGTGTGCTTTATCATCCCAGTAAGGCCAATGTAGTTGTTGATGATCTTAGCAGATTATCTATGGGTAGTGTAGCACATATTGAGGAAGAAAGGAAAGAATTAGCAAAAGATAGTCACCGGCTTGCTCACTTAGGAGTTGGTCTTACAGACTCGTCAGATGGTGGAGTAATAGTCTATAATAGATCTGAATCTTCATTGGTAGCGGAGGTTAAGGAAAAACAGGATAGTGATCCTATATTGCTTCATTTGAAAGGTGCAGTTCACAAGCATAAAGTAGAGGTTTTCTCCCAAGGGGAGATGGTGTGCTTCGTTATCAGGGTCGCTTATGTGTTCCTAAGGTGGGTGAGTTGAGGCAGGAGATCCTTACGGAGGCTCATAGTTCCAGGTATTTTATTCATCCAGGTGCCACCAAGATGTATCGTGATCTGCGGGAAGTCTTTTCGTGGAACGACATGAAAAGAGACATAGCAAAGTTTGTGGTTAAGTGTCCTAATTGCCAACAGGTTAAGGTAGAACACCAGAAACCAGGAGGTATTACTCAAGAAATTAACATTCCTACATGGAAGTGGGAAGTGATAAATATGGACTTCATTATAGGTTTACCTCATACTCACAGACAGCATGATTCTATTTGGGTAATAGTAGACAGAGTTACTAAGTCCGCTCACTTCTTGGTTGTCAAGACTACAGATTCGACGGAGGACTACGCCAAGCTTTACATTAATGAGATAGTCAGGTTGCATGAGGTTCCTTTGTCTATCATCTCAGATAGAGGTCCACAGTTTACCTCTCATTTTTGGAAATCATTTCAGAAAGGTCTTGGTACCTAGGTAAATCTCAGCATAACATTTCATCCACAGACGGATGGTTAGGCAGAGCGTACCATTCAGATCTGAGAGGACATGTTGAGAGCTTGCGTGATCGACTTCAAGGGTAGTTAAGATGATCACCTTCCTCGTATAGAGTTCGCCTACAACAACAGTTACCATTCTAGTATTCAGATGGCCCCTTATGAGGCATTATATAGTCGTAGGTGCAATCTTCAGTTGGTTGATTTGAAGTAGGTGAGGCAGAATTGATAGGGCCATATTCGGTGCATGAGGCTATGGAAAAAGTTTAGCTCATCAAAGATAGACTTAAGACAGCCTAGAGTCGTCAGAAGTCCTATGCAGACATAAGGAGAAGGGACCTATAATTTTAGGTCAGTGATTGGGTTTTCCTGAAGGTGTCACCTATGAAGGGGGTAGTCATGGAAGCTCAGTCCAAGATATGTAGGTCCTTACAAGATTCAAAAAAGGGTTGGAAATGTGGCATATGAATTAGAGTTGCCAGCAGAGCTAGCAGCAGTTCACCCAGTCTTTCACATTTTCTTGTTGAAAAAGTGTATGGGTGATCCAACATCAAAGTGCCATTAGAGAGTGTGGCTATGAAGGACAGTCTCACCTATGAAGATGTAACGACCCGTAAAGTTATTTTTGGAAAATTTTACAAAATTATCAATTTACCCCTCCCGATAATTATCCCGAGTCATTTTTTTCAATCAGTCAGTGAAGTTGGTTTGGAAATTTTGAATTATTCAATAACTATGGTTATTTAATTAACGGATATTATTAAATAATTAATTATTTATAGTTGGTGATTAATGGGCCAAGTCTATATTTTATTTAATATTCTTACCACTTGGCCATGTATTAAGAAAATAAATTAAAGAAATAAGGGTGAATACATTGTCATACGAAAACCTTTGCGGCTTAACTCGTGGCTCTCACACCGTTGATAGAACTGACAGAATCGTTGCAGGTAAGACTTAATTAAGTCATGATCTTGTTTCTTTTTATATCGATTGTTGGGTGTGTGTTGTTAATTATTATTTTATGAGTTTAAAGTATTGGTTTCAAATCAAAGGTAAATTAATGTTATTTTGTGGCAGAATTATCAAAGCAAATTGAATGCTAGTTGTATGGTAATAATAAGCAATTATTAGGCAATGATGATTAGAGTCTATGACAAGACAACTGACATATAGGTTAGCTACTGCGTATGTTGTTCATTCTTGTTCGTGGCTGACCAAAACACAATTCCTTTTGAATTGGTTCTCTGTTAGAAATTTCTCGTATTGTATCATATTATAATTCAAATTTTGGAATATTAATATAGGTAATTAAATATTAGATATAGGGTGTGTTTGGTATGGAGGAAAATGTTTTCCGGAAAATGTTTTCCTATTTTCTTTTGTTTGGTTGCAACAAAATGTTGGGAAAACATTTTCCTAAAGGACTTGTTTTCCTAAAATCAGCGGAAAACGACTTCCGTAACAAATCTGCGGAAATCATTTTCCGGAAAAGAAGTCGACGCGCAACACAAGCGAATTTCACCCCAGCCCACGCCCTTGCCCACCCTCAAACGTAGTGAAGGAGCGTTGTTTCTCCATTATTTCTCTAGCTTGTTCCTCTCCGAATTTAGGGTTTCCATTGTTGATCTTCTCATTCATATTCCTGTAAGAATTTCGAAGGTATGCTTTCAATAATTCTTCAAAATATTCATCTTTCACTTGCTTTTCTGCTGAAATACTTGCTCATGTGCTTGAATTTGACTTTACTTGGTGAATTTATGCATTGGATTCGACATTTTTTGGTAAATCTATGAATTGTGGCCTTTTGCTTTCGATTATTTCATATTTTTCTGGGATTTGGCCCAAGTATGTTTGGCTGTGTGTGTAATGTTATCTGTTCATTCTTTGATAGTTGAGCCGGAGATATGTAGATCTGAAATAGGATTTTAGATTCTAGTTTGTGGATTCTAAGGGAAAGTTGAAAAGAGTTATTGGGTAATTTGGAGGAAAGACATTTTAATTCTCTGCTGGTTTTGGTATTGATTTCCTCAAAATTGATCAGCCGTTACTATATGCCTTGGCAGATTTTCTTATTATGTTCTTTTCTTTGTTATATCATAAATGCAATTACATTATACTGGTCGTTGGAACAGATGGATATGACAAACAAAGATGAAGATGATGCAATAGTTGGAGCTGTAGCTACATCTGTTTTAGCTTTCGGAGTTGCAATTAATGTAGCCTATAATAATCAAAGTAGCATTCCTAGAGAACCTTATACGAATAAAGATCAAGAAAGGGAATTTTACATGAATAGTATTTTGAATGGAAGTGATGTTCATTGTATAGGACAGATAAGGATGAGCAAGCATGTGTTTTATGAACTATGCAATGCTCTTAGAAGAAATAATTTGTTGTGTTCAACCAAAAACATGTCTATTCAAGAACAAGTATTAATATTCTTAGAGATCGTTGGTTTTAATGAACGATTTCGCAAGATTGGATCACACTTCTATAGGTCAATCGAATCTATTCATCGATGCTTTCACACGGTACTTCAAGCAGTTTTGAAGCTCTACCCTATCCTTATAAAACCATCAGATGGTACTATTCAACCGGAGATAAGGAACAACTATCGATATTATCCATGGTTTGCTGTAAGTGACATACTAAAATTTCAAAATTTAAATCATTTTATGAAAATAGTACATAGTATTAACTTAGCTGTATATAGAACTGTGTAGGAGCAATAGATGGCACACATGTGCTTGCATCTGTTCCTATTGAACAACAAAGTAGATTTCGTGGTCGAAAAGGCACAACAACACAAAATGTATTGGCTGCCATCAACTTTAATTTGAAGTTCACGTATGTACTAGCTGGTTGGGAAGGATCTGCTCATGACTCTCGCATATTAAATGATGCATTAGAGAGACCACATGGGTTTCAAATCCCCCAAGGTATCTTATTCAATCTAAAATAGTTTATCGAAAAAAGTAGGTGAACAATGTATATTAATTAACTATATTATGACTTTGTAGATAAATTTTATCTTGGAGATGCGGGATATGGACTTCGTAAGGGATTCATTCCTCCTTATCACGGAGTACGCTATCACTTACAAGAGTATAGTGATCGTCCTCCCCAAAATGAAAAAGAATTATTCAATCTTCGGCATGCATCATTGAGATCCTCAGTTGAACATGCCTTTGCTATTCTCAAGCGACGATTCCGTGTGATTGATAATGAACCCTTTTGGGACTTTAAAACTCAAGTGGATGTGGTATTAGCGTCATGCATTTTACATAATCACATAATTGATTTGGAGCCTAACGACATGATAATTCAAGAAGTAGATGTGGAACCGCTAGTTCAACCTCAAAATGCTCAAATTACTCAAAGCTCTCAAGGGAGTCAAAGCTATCAAACCCAAAGAGAGAGACGTGAAGAAGCTAGAGAATGCCATTAATGAACAATTAGGAATGGACTGTTCTCCTAAGCATGTGGAGAATCATCTTAAAACGCTAAGAAGCACATGGAATACAGTGCAAACTCTACTAAACAAAAGTGGTCTTGGATGGGATGACAACTTGAAGATGATTACTGCCAGTCCCAGAGTGTATGCAATGCATATTCAGGTAAGGTTGCTGTAATCAGTATTTACGTCGTTTATGCAACTCTATGAATATTCAAGATATGCATGAAATATCTTAGATATTAATTTTGACTTGAACTCTGTTTATGTTTGTTTGTGAGAAATTAAAGAGTTGAGGCTTTAGTTTTATAGGAAAAGAAGAAGAGAGAGAGGGTGGTTTAATGGTTAGCAGATTAGGCTTTAGTTCTGTATTTCTCCATTTCATGAAGTTTATGTTATAATTGTGTCACATGTTGACGTCTCTTGTTTAATACCATATTTTTGTCATTTATATTGTAGGCGCATCCTAGTCATGATAAGTTCATCAACAAGAAGATTGATATGTTTGAAGAAATGTCTCTTGTCTGTGGGAATGATCGAGCTAGAGGTGATTGTGCTAAGTCATTTGAAGATATAGGCTTGGATTGTAGTTCGGAGAAAGGTAATGAAGATGAGATTGAAGGACCATCTAAGGAGAATGGAGTGCAAGATGTGAGTGAAACTTCTCAAGTCAAGTCAAGTCGTAAAAGAAATCGTCCTTCTGATGTGCAAGATGTGGTCGGTGATATTTCAACAAAACTTGGAGAAGTGGCAGCGGCAATAAGTAAGATAGCTGATAGCCGATTAGATTTGACAAGGTTGTATGAAGAAGTTATGGCAATTGAAGGTTATGGGGAAGAGTTCTTAGGGGATGCTTTTGACTATTTGGTACAAAGTGATACTTTAGCTAAGGGATTCATGGCTAAAAATCAAAATCTCCGTAAGGTGTGGTTGGAAAGGTTCAAGCGACAACATAAATAGAATATAGAAGTGAATCGGAAGAACATAACTATATAGAGTACTACTATTAGAGGACTTGATATCTTTTTGCTTGAATTTGATTTGTGTGCTTGAGGCAGAGTTGTTTTACATGTTTACAAATTGTTAGTTTGTTGATTTAATGGTGTTATTGAACTAAGTATTCATAATTATATTATTATGATATGATATGTTTGTACAACTTACTGTTTGTACTATGCACAGTTGAAATATGTGTGTGGTGTACAGAGATGAGCAACTGTGCACAATAATGTGAAAAACCTCAAGTCTCAACTGTATAGTGTTTTCCGGAAAAAATTCCTTACTCACCAACCAAACACTAGAAATTGTTTTCCGGAAAATGTTTTCCACTCACTAACCAAACATAAGAAAACAAGTTAAAAATCAACTTGTTTTCCAAGAAAATATTTTCCAGGAAAACATTTTCCATGGAAAACATTTTCCTTCATACCAAACACACCCATAGGGTATATGAATATCATTAGATTTATGGTATTGGATAAATTGGGATTTGACCCTAAGTTTGAAACTTAGGAACTTGATTATAAATTTGGGTGAGTTTTTGAGGCTAGGCTAAACCTATAGTAATATGGGTGTTATTAGTTTTGAAATCTTATGTGGTCATTTATTTGAATAGATTGATTTGAGTTGGAAGTTCAACGAAAAGGGAAGGCTCAAGTTCCGGAGTGAATTCTTAATTGATTGAGGCAAGTGGATTTCTAAACCCTTGTTAAGTGCATAGAGTCGTGTATTTCCTTGTGGTATGTGTTGGTGAGTAATGGAAATTGGTGATGGGTTGACTTGTCCATGTTGAATAGTTCTAATGATGGAAAAAGGGTAATAAAAAGGTAATGTGATTAATTGTTGGTGCGTGATGTTTGAGAATGATTTGAAAGGCTTATTGCTTAATTGTTGATGTTGTATCACAGTTGTATTGTTGTGAATTGTGCATTGTTATGATTGGTTCTGAGACATGGTTGTGATAAGTGTTATGTGATAAGAGGATGTACTATTTCAAGGGACGTATCGCGCGCCGCAATGGATACTATATATCGAGGGACATATCACGCGTTGCGATGCATACTATATATCGAGGGTCGTATCGCACGCCGCGATGGATGCATGGACAGATATGTCCCCCATGCATCCCGGACTGAGAGACAGCGGATGTGTATCGTTAGGTTAGACATGCATCACTATACTTGACATTGCATTTTATTGTATTGCACATTTTTATCATTAGTGAACTTGATCTTATGTGTTGTTGATATTGTGAGTGCCTTTCTGTGGAACTTGTGATTGATGAATATTGAGCCTATTGTTAAGAATATGAAATTGTTAGAGTGTTGTTGTACATGTTGAGTACTGTGCTTTGTAAATTGTGAGTTGTTAGGTTGGGATGATTTTATGCAGGTCGTAGTTGTGGAGATTCGGTTGGTGTGTAAAGAGTACCCGCATTCTATTCCCTTTACCTGTGTTTAAAAGTCTACTTGCTGAGTACCGTGCGATTTGGTACTCACCCCTTGCTTTTACAATTTTTTTTGTATGTTACGAGCCTGGATTTTGTGATACTTTCCATTCTCTTATTTTCCGAGGCTTCTTGGAGATTTTTGAGGTAGTTGTTTGTCATCTCAGCAGACCTTCTTACTCCTATTTATGATCTTGTTCTATTCTGGAAACAAGGTCATTTGAGATGTATGTTTTTCTTTTGTATCAATTGTAATATTTAGAGGCTTGTACACGTGACAACTAGATTTTGGGGGTATAATTTAAGTTGATTATGAAATTTCCGCATTTTATTATAATGGTTGAGTTTTAGGCTGACTTGTCTTGGTGGGATAAGACGAGTGTCATCACGTCCATTTTTGGGTCGTGACAGAAGAGGAGCCAATTGATAATCTTGATCGTCAGGTTCGTAGGTTGAGAAATAAAGAAGTTACGTCAGTGAAGGTTTTGTGGAGGAGTCAGACCGTAGAGGGAGCTACTTGGGAAGCAGAAGCAGCCATGAAGGCCAAGTATCCTCATCTCTTTCCTTCCGATTCCGTTTCAGCTTCAGGTAATAGTTCCTCTCCGGTCTCTCAGTTTACCCTTGTGTAAAATATCAGTCTCAACATCATGTTCCCTCAGTTATACTTGCATTTTCAGCGTATTTGCATGTTCTTGGAACTCAGTTCAGTCAAAAATCAGGTTCTAGTACTTAGTGGTAGGGATTACAGCTCATTCCCTCCATACTCAGTTAGTTTAGGCTTTACTCGAGGATGAATGTTCCCAAGGGAGAGATATTGTAACACCTCAGAAATCAGACTTAGACTGTGCAGCAGAAAACACCAGAAATAGTGATTCACGACAGGGTTCAGGGACCGTGAAAGGGACCACGGTCCGTCGACCTGTCCGTGGTTCACACCCTCCCAGCAGTGGTGGACCACGGAGCCCTCCGCAGGCGGTGGACCACCTCACAAGCCGTGGGAAGGCTCGTGGGAGCCTGGGAGAACCCACCAGGACCAGACGTCAGACCACGGAGCCCTTCACGGGCTGTGGTCTTAATGACGGGCCGTGGTGGCGTCCGTCGTCTTGAGCCACCAGACCCCAACCTAAGTGAAGAACCACAGTGACCTTCACAGTCCGTGGTCCTTCACACGAGCCATGGTAGGGCTCGTGGACATAACCCCAGAAACCACGACCCACACGATGGACTATGGTCTTTGTGGCGGTCCGTAGTTGCATCCGTGGTCGGCCCCTGTCAAGTTTTTAGTAAGGTCACTTTGGTCTTTTCCCATATGCGTTGGACACCTAAACTACGTCGTTTAACCCCTAAACTATGTAGTTTTGGTCAGTTTTAGCCAAGAACCTACCTTAATCAATCATTCACCAAAAAAATCATCTATCTTAGAGCAAATCAAGAGAGAAAAGTCGAGTAGCCCTTCCAAGAACGTAACAAGTTTTCTTCAGTTCCAATCCCGATGTCGAAATATTTCTCTGTAAAATTCGTCACCAGGTATGTGAAATTTCACAAATGGGTTCCTTTCATCTAGTAGGTCCTTAGAATTCAGTCAATTTCTTGATTCTTTATATCATGTTTAGACCTAGGGTTTCTAGAACCTTAGATAAATTGTTGTGATTTAGCTGTTATGGTATTCTTATTCATATTATCATGTTTTCGTGACATTGTGCTTAGTTCCTTGCATGAAACTGAGAACCCTAGTTGTGTAAATTCATCTAGTTAATGAACTACACTAGCTAGGTCAGATAAACAAATATACATGCCTCAGATTTCGAATGTTTCATTGTCAATTATAAATGTTGCATTCTCAATTAGCATGTCAGAATATTGAGCTATGCAGTATAATTCAGTTATGATATATTGTTCACATTTCTAGTTGGGAGTAGGCTTAGATCAAGTGGACTAGGATTCAGCGTACCCGTATAGTCCAAGAACTACGTGTCCCGTAGGTTTATAAGTCCCCTCTGTGGGCATTACATTTAGTGATCACGTCAGTCATGCCTCTATACCCTTGGCAAAGTATATTGGGTCCTCTCGATGGGGAGTATACATCGAACGAACTCCATGCTTAGCTCACGTGGGTAGGTTTTCAGTATTTTCCAGCATGTTCAGATTATATCATTGTTCAGTATGTTGTTCAATTTATATGTTGTTCAGCTTTATCCTATCCTGCATGCTCAATACATTCCAAGTATTGACGCATACTCTGCGCTACAGCTTTTCATGATGTAGGTTTAGGTACTCAGCATCCAGATCACGCATAGATCGGCTCCCAATCTCCAGTTCAACAGCTTCAGTGGTGAGTCCTCATATTTCGAGTACAATAGACATATTTCTATATTTAGTCTTTTCATTTCAGTTTTCAATATTTGCTAGAGTTAGCTGGGGGCATGTCCTAGTAGCTTTAGTCAGCAAAGGCTTCTCTTCAGACATAGTTTAGTTTAAGCTTTAGAATGGAGTTTAACCTTTCATTTGTATTAAACTCATAAGTATCTTGATTTATTCAGAACAGCTTTGGGTATTCCCCACTATTAAGTTTTATCATGATTTAGCCTCTGCATCAGTTTAATTGTTATAGAAATATTTTGTCTGCTTATGATATGCCAGCTCAGGGTTAACTTGGGGTCACTCGTGATCCTAGGTCCCGTGTTTACATTAAGGGGGTAGCCTCGGAGAGTGACAATTATTTTTATAAAAATTCAATGATTGAATATGGAATCAACACAATCTTATTTTCTACAATGTAAGATGAAGATTAAAACATAGAAAATTGAGTATGATGTTTCATGATACATTTAAGATCCTATGATTTTATCAATTAAGACGTAAGAAATTAAAGGAGGTAAAAACAAATATGATGCATCATGATACATTTAAGATCCTATATTTCTATCAAGAGGTAAGAAATTAACTTTTTTGTTACCTTAGCTCAGCTGGTCATTAAATGGAGAAAATATAATGTATAAGTGACTATTCAATTGAAAATAGATTCTTAAAGTTTTCTGAGAGTCTTTTAGCCTTTAAGAGATTCTTATGCCAATAGAAGATAGAGAGAACTTATAGTATCTTTTATTTTTCATTTACTTTATATGATGGCATGAGATAAATTCAAATGGATAAACATGGTCAGTGAACATTCATATAGTCTGTGTCAGGTGAATATTTTTGTAGCATACATGAAGGAGTAGTTGGAGCTGTCGCAGAGAGGGTGTCAATTGCCTATGCCAGAACTGTTGTGGGGAGGGATAATGAACTCTTTCTTGGAGAATTGAGAATGACATATACTGACATGCTCCAAGCAATAAAGCTTTCATTTAAGTTAATCTTACCTCAATGTCACTAAATTTTATTGTATAGTAACTATTGGGTCGTATTTTTGTCTTCTTTAGACAAAGGTGGTTGTAGATGGGTCTTCTTTAGATAGAGGTGGTAGGGCTCAAGGACTCGAGGAAATCGATCTACACCTCAAATGCAACATTCTATCACATGCATGTCGCAA